GGACTGACGGACTGACGGACTGACGGACTGACGGACTGACGGACTGACGGACTGACGGACTGACATTGAGAATCACTGGTGAAGTCTCATAACTTAAAAAAATCCCACTAATGAATATGATGATAAAATTTGACCATGAGGCGAAGTGTGCATGCGCCGTACGTCATGGCACTTTTTCAAAACACAATCCCACAGTCTTCAAGCCGTGGATGAAGACCTTTTCAAGAGGTTATCCATGACACTAAATTATCACTTTGATTTTTTGTAAATATAAGTAGCAAATAGTTTCTAAAACAATCCCACATGGAAACGCGTGACCATATGGATAACCCAATAGCGACATCAACGAAAACCCAGGCTTGCTTGTCATAGCAAGGGGTTAATCAATTATGGTCTAGGGGCCGACTAACCTCTCCCTTAGGCTTCGGCCGAGCTTCCTGATCAGTCTGTAATTCCTCCCGGGATAGCGGTGTTGGGGTCGAAATCTCCAGCGTAGCCGTAAGTCCATACGACGGTTCAGCACTCGATGTCTGGAAGTATGGTCCTGGTTATTTTAATGAATCAATAAAAATATAGTCTCACCGATTAACTTTAACAGGAAAGAGAAAAATTAAGTGTGCATGTGCATCTAAAATTAGCCTTCAATTTTTTTTACGCCTGGTGATCTCGGCAAAACGTTGAGTCTGTTCAACCGAGCTGGTAATTAGTTTCCAATATGCACGAGCTATTGACGTCCGAACCGGCCAATCAGAGCGAATTTTCCATATCCCGGGAAGTAGCTTCTGATTAATTAGTCGCAATCGAAATTCAAAGTGGTGTTCGACGAAGGCATAAAGCTAGTGTGCGACGTTTTTAAAACCGAGAAAATGAAAGAATTTCAAGTGCAGGCAATACGAGTAATAGAAGGCAAAAAAGACGTTTTTTTATAAATAAGTCGACGGGTTGTGCAAAGTGGCTTGCCCATCAGGCATTGCCGCTAATGTTCGCTTATATGTCAGAAGAACAAATAACAGCATAATCATAGTAGTGTCTCCTTTGGTCAGTAAGGGTACTCCTGCCGAAAGCCCGTACTCTGTTTTAACAGTTTAACAACTTTTCTGATGAACTGTTATACAAGAAACAATCGTTTCCGGCCAATGATTTTTTTTGGGGAGTTATTATCATGGTTATCTAAGCTAATAAAATGTATTTCTTAAGACAAGCGCATTGTTTATATTACTGATATATATTTTTTCGCGCTAATCCGTCAAATGGTTTTCTAACAGAGCTAAATTCTTATTGGATAGTTAAGCTTTTATTGCCTTAAATATTGGAAACTAATTAGCAGCTCGGTTCAGCAGACTATTTTTTTGGCAGAATCACCGAGGGTAAAAAAAATTGAGTCTGCAAAGCAGGTTAGTTTAGGATGAGTATTGTATATCGAAATTAATAGTTTGCCGTACTCAAAAAGTCACTAGCTAGGAGCTAATTTAACGAAAACTTGTTTTTCACCTATAGAATGACATAATGCAAAACCTTCCACTTGTCATATTTGGAGTAATGGCTTTTATTGCTGGCACTACTGCATTACTTTTACCTGAAACCCTATTCAGTTCCATGCCCCAGACCGTTCAACAAGTAGAGTCCTGGGATGAGGATTACAGTGTTCCGTGGAGAAGAAGAAGACATCGAGACCAAGTATCAAAGAATGTAACGAAAGAAGGGGAAGCTGACGATTTGATAAATGGGAACATTTTGGACAACAGCATGGATTTGTACTTTCGTGAAACAACCGTGTAGCCGAATCACTTGTGATACGTCACCATCGACAGGGCAGAAAAACGGTTTTTGGCCTTTCGCCATAAGGACAGCTTTACGTATTTAAGCTCAATATTTTATAAACACGTTCTTTTGGAGCCATATAGCAAAATATCAAATGCAACCAAAATTTATGGAATGCGCATTTGAGATATGAAGCCGTGTACTTTGGGAGAGGTGATATTTTGATCAGCAGAAAAATTGACATTAGCGTGAATACTAATAAGTAAATTAACTGTAATAATTCGACAAAATTTCGTCACAAGTTTCGAGCAGCAGTGACACAAATGAAAAGCTTGAAAATTTGGAGTATTAAACTCAGTTAAATAAAAAAATCGTGAAAGTAGCGGGCTTATCGTTTTTCTACCCTGTCGTCACCTTCATCTTACCTTACTTATTTATCGATATAGGGGCTCTATCATTACCTATTCCCAGGGGGAGGGGATCGGAAGATATTTTTGTTGCAACATCGTCGATATTAATTAGTGCCAACAAGAGGCACTGTATTTGTTTCCTGATTCCCTCTCATTAGTTGGTGCTACTAAGCGATTACCTCTATGAAGAACTGTAAATATTTTAGTTGATCCCGGCCCCTCCAGTTGTCTACTGAAAAACTTTTGTATATGTGTTTATTTCTTTTATCTCGACGCAACTGAAAAATATCGCAGAAAAAGAAGAAGCAGGTTGGAAATACCAAAGTCACTTACATAAGTATTTTCGTGATGGCCTACTATGATAGAAAAACAAAGTAAAACGAAGAAGCTTAAAAAAATACTCAAATCATCACGAAAATCATCGGAGTGATTGACAAGGCACGCCAGTACAATCCTAACAAGTTTCGTGGTCACCGCTTGTATTGAAGCGAAGAAACTGGCACGAGGGGCACCAGAGGTGTGGTGCACCAGAAGTGTGGGGCCACCAGATGTTGGCCGTGGAACGTGCCAACGTGCCAACCGACGTGAAAAGTTTTGCAATTCCCCTCCCCCCCCCCCCCCCTTAGCAACTGATGGTTCAGGGGCAAATCATAGTTAGTATAGGTAGTCCAAGCGAAGAGTTAATGAAAATCGTAAGGTCTCTGCATTTATAATGAGATTACGGTTAAAATTTTTAAAGGCTTCGGAAAACCCTTGGAAGGCTTTGAAGTTTATTGCATAGCTGCTCTTAGGAGGAGGATTAAGGCCCCTTGCCCAATTACCTAGAGCGCCGCTGCCCAGGCTACCAAATTACTAAACCGATGGAACATCTAAAAATCGATGACCGGCTTTCAAATAAATTGCCTTTGTTTAAGAAGGGGCTTTCTTTGTGTGTTTATAAACAGAGGGTGTATCACTAATATTAGGGTTACCGTCAGGCCGGGTCAATTGAAAACTTAGTGGCTTTACGAGAAAAAATATTTGTAGGATAGCCCTCCGGCCTGGGGAATCCCTGCACGGTAGGGATCAGGTTAGTAATGTCAACAAACTAAATGGTCAATCACAAGAAATTCGCAGAAACTCATACCGAGAAAACTTTTTATGTATATATTCCTGCTAATATTGCGATTTATATTCATTCTCAGGCATTGATTTACGGGTTTTTGACAAATGCTGCATTATCGGCAACATTGTTATGTGTTTTTCATTTTCTACCTCCATCTGTGAATGCCTTTTTATATTCTTATTTTCTGGTATTGCTATGCCGAGTGTTTCTATGGCAAGAAGCAGTAAAAGCAAGAATGTTCTTAAAAGGAAAGAATATGCTTTTGAGGAAAGAATATGCTTTATAATTGCCGTAGGGGGAGTTGATGCCTGTGATCAAGTGTTTATAGTGTTTATTAGGAGAGCAGATCTTGTTAGATTTTCAGGGTTTTAGGGGATTCATCGGAACCCCGTTGAAATTAAGTTTGTTTACTAATATATAGCGCTAGTTGATGCATTAGCTTTGTGATATTAATTTGCCAACAATATTCTTACAATACAGTGATTTTCCTTCGCTCGTGAAAGAATAGTCAACGTATCATAGTGTCAAGATAACATAAGCCTTTATTCTTCCTTCTCATCTCTAAAACAAATGGTAAGGTGGACAGGACCATATATACAAAGGTCAGAATGAGTACAACTGAAACTCTTCACGAAACAGGTGTCAATATATTGGGAATATATTTTTTCCCAGAAATTACCTCTATAAAAATAACTTCTTTCTTTGTGTGTTTACAAGCAGGGAGGGTATCACTAATACTAAGGATACCTGCCAGGGAGGGCAAATAGATAACTTGGCTTTACAAGAACAAATTATAGTTGAGTTAACCCTAGTGCCTGGGGAATCCGTACGGTAAGGCTCAGGTTATTAGTAATGTCAACAAACAAAATGGTCAGTCACAAGATATTGGCACAATTTATTCCTACTGTTTTAGGACAAATAGACTACAAATGTTGAGTTTCATCGGCAACATCGTGTGTTTTAAATTTTACCTCTTATATGTGAATATCTTTTTATGTTCTTATATTCTCGTATGGCTTTTCCGAGCGTTCCTATGGCGAGAAGCAGTTAGAGGAAAGAATGTGCTTTTAAGGAAAGAATATGTTTTTAAAGAAAAAAGGTGTTTTAGAATTGCCCTAGGGTGGTGAGTTATATTGCCCGCGATCAAGTGTTTAATAGGGGTCAATCAATTCCAATTTATTATACTTGATTTTTATTTATTATTAGTTTTTAGTCATTTTTTAAAAATAAATTGTAATATAAGAAGGTTTTTTAACTTTTCAGGTATAATCTGTAATTTGTCTATTATTTGACTTGTTGCTAGTTTGTTTACCGCAAATAATTTGTTTGTCTGGTACTTATATGTACTTAAAAACACTTGAGCACAAAATGGACCACTTTCGGTGTCCGAGCAGAATAAAACTTAAAACTAAAGAGAGATTAAGAATAAATTGAATAAATATAAGAATAAATATAATCAATTAACAAGAGTTATAAATAGAATTATTTCTCAATTGACACGGTTTTCTTTGTTATTCACAAGGCTTTATTTTTGTTATAACCCTCATTATAAATGCGAGGTCAATATATAGTTATTAACCCGGTTAATAACTATATATAGACCGTTCGCATTTATAATGAGCAACATTTGATAGAAAACCTTCTCAATTGATAAATAAAATACTTAATTACCGAGAACGTCGGCAATAAACCCTGCGGCCCTCGGGATGTATATGGCTTATTGCCTCCGTTCTCGGTAATTAACTCTTACGTAGCTTGAACGTTTCATGTTATCTCAATTCGCGACTCAAGCAGGAAAGCCCTAACAAAGACTTGAACACGTGGTTCTAACCATCAAGGTACGTTAAATTTGTAATTTCTCCAAAGTTTTGTGGAGAAAAATTAGAATTGACTTGGAAGATAATTGGTCGAGCCTCTGACCAGGGTAACAAAAGATGAGCTTTTCTTACCGTTTTAAATGAAAAGTGAAGAAATTTGGATTTAGAAAGCAAAACTCGCCGAGTTAAGCAAATGTGACTTTCTTAAAGAAGCCAGCCTTTAACAGCTGACATGCATACTTAATTTAAAACAGGAACGGACTTAGACGGGATTGAAATTTCATAACGTCAAAATCTTGTTCGATTATTTTGATTTTATGGCATAAACGTTTTACACAAAAAGGCTTTCGCTCAGAAACAATCCTAGCCCTACCATTTTCTCAGCTTCTAAACGTAGCAACTTATTTTCACTTTGCCTTTAGATTATCATAGTCTAAGGCCAATCACCGCATGAGTCGTACACACTGAAAACGATGGTTAATAAGGCGGCGTTCTTCGATGTCATTAGGTTAGGCTCATGTGATGAAGTTCTACCACAGGTAGCCCAAGCTCGGTTTCTGTGGTGTCCTGTTATAAGGAAATGTATGGAGATTCATCAAAATTTTTAATTTTTTTTCAATAAAATCATTGAAACGTGAAATAATGCCTCGAAATTTTACCCGATCATTGGGAAATAGCACTTCTTTTGCTCTGCGTGGTTATTTTTTGAATTTAGCCCGTTTTAAAATTTTTTTCCCCACCAGTAAGAAATATTTCTTACTGGTGGGGGAAAAAATCAATAATTCAGTTATTCTTTGTCTAATACAATACCATATACATTCCTTTCGCAGTTTTGCAGTCTTTTCATTTAGTTCAGCGGTCATAATGAAATACCTTATCATCTTTTCTGTAATTTTACTTGTTGCCACAGCAACCATTGCCAGTTTCATCAGTGGTAAGTAAGGAATAGGTGAATGTTTACATGCTTTTCAACTCAGTGAATACAAAGTAAAAAAAAAATCAAATTCAATGTGGTCTAACTAAGAAAATGTGTCACTCACTCAGTATGCACGACCGCGTAGCGGGAGTGCAATTTGTTAATCACAAGCATGATTTTGGTCCAAAATTGCACAACACGAAGTTCAGTTACCAGTTAATCATATCCTTTTTGTAATCTTACACAAGAAAAAGACACAATAAAGAGTGCAGAATAATCAATTTAATGTAGAACAAGAAGTAAATCAATCAGGTTTTTCCTGGTACAAAATAAACGACTTATCAGCAAATCATTAAATATTCATAAATAATGCTAATCATTCTCTTCTCTGAATAGAATATAAGAATATAAGAATTCCGTTCTGTGATTGGTTCTTTCAAAAAGATGGATGCGATTAAGAGCTCAAAAGGATGCGATTAAGA